GATAACTTTGTCGTCATAGTAGGGGTTTATGACCCCAACTCTGGATAACTTTGTCGTCATAATAGGGGTTTATGACCCCAACTCTGGATAACTTTGTCAATGATATGCCTATCAGTGTCAAGTGCAAGCTCCTACTGTATGCAGATGACAGTGCTCTGTTAGTGTCAGGTAAAGACCCACAAGATATTGCTAATGTTTTAACACTGGAACTGGAGTCCTGCAGCAAATGGTTAGTAGACAACAAACTATCATTACACCTAGGAAAAACTGAAGCCATTCTCTTTGGCACGAAACATAAACTGAGAAGGGTAAATAATTTTAATGTTCAATGTAATGGGAAGCCCATCACTTTGGTTTCATCAGTAAAATATTTGGGAATCCCCTTTGACCCATGCATGTCAGGAGAATTGATAGGGAACAGTGTAGTAAAGAAAGCGAATGGCAGACTGAAGTTCCTGTATAGACAAGCACAGTGTCTACCTACTGAGGCTCGCAGGACCCTATGTCTAGCCCTTATACAATGCCATATGGATTACGCTTGCTCTTCTTGGTACTCTGCCTTGACAAAAAACAACTGAAAGATAGACTGCAAATCACCCAGAACAAAATCGTAAGATTCATCCTGGGGCTGGGACCAAGAGAACATGTAGGCCAGGATGAATTACAGCAGTTGGATATGCTGAATGTTGAAGACAGAGTAAAACAACTGAAGATAAATCATGTTTATAAAATTGCTCACAAACAGTGTCCAGAATATCTTGCTGTCAATTTTGTCAAGGTTGGGAACCAGAGCAATCATAGTACTAGGGGGAGAGAGCACAACTTTGTAGTACCCACAGTCAGTGGCCAGGCGTCAAATACCTTTTATTGTACAGCAATAAAGGAATGGAACAGACTGCCCGCACATGTCAAAGCCAGTCATAGCATGAACCAGTTCAAGAAGAGTGCCAAAAGGTGTCTGATGAATGTAGCTACAGAAAGGGAGGGGAATGATTTTCTATTTTTTAGCTAACATACGTGTAAATTTTACGTTATTCCTAGTAATGACCCTCGTATTGTAGATAGTCTTAATGACCTTGGTGTAGTAGATAGTCTTTTTAGTATGATAATAAGATGTTATCTTCATTGTAGAATAATAAGAAAATATTATAACCTTTATATTATAATAATAAGGTAAAAGGACCCCAATGGAAAAAAGTCACTCTGTCTGACTTTTTTGGGTTATCCCAGGTTCTCTACACATATGCTGCTATGTAAGATAATTCTATGTAACTGTATTTGTGTATACCTGAATAAACTTACTTACTTACTTATAGTAGGGGTTTATAACCCCAACTCTAGATAACTTTGTCGTCATAGTAGGGGTTTATGACCCCAACTCTGGATAACTTTTCTATGGTGGCGAGGTTTGAGTGGCTCCAGTGTCTATTATTCTACTTAAACATCAAGGAGAGCTTCCCCTACCGTCAGATTTTGATGTGATTTATAACCTAAGCCGAGACCCGAATTGTGGATACAATCTAAATTGCGGCTAATGAAAGTATTTTGATCGCAGTGTGGCTATGATTTCAATTATATAACATTAAACGAGTCACGATAGCAGAAAAACTGTTTATCGATAACAGCAATAGGTTTATATTACTGATAAATGACAGTGCTACAGACGACTTAAGACTGATGTTAACAACTGTTTATGTTAAAATACACTCAATTATTTAACAGTTCTAGGGCGATGTAAATCATTCAGCTTTTAAAAGTTGAATAAACTTTGTCGTAGCCAAAGACATTTATATTTCATCCTTCAACAAGATTATAGTAAACAAGTGATATCACGATATGCAAAATAACCAGTGAGAAAAAAAAATAGTGAAATTCCGAGAAATCACGAAAGCACTTGGATGTTCACTATATTTTTCGGTGTTTTTTTTTTATTTATTTCATCAAGTACAGTGCTAAAAGGAACTTGGGTAAGATATGGTATGAAATACTGACAGATATAAAGTTAGACGCATGCACAGTATGTGGCTATTTTATTACCTGAACAATATTAAGATATTTTACGTAAGGAAATCCTAATGTTGCTCATATGTCTTGTTTCACAAAATGGAGGTTGCACAGTGCTTCTCCAGGTGCAAGGTGAAGTCCAAATTATTTTTATTATAATTATGGGAAATGCTGAACCCACAGAGGTCATAAAACGTCTGGGGAAGGGGAGATAATAATGAATGATGTAGGGATGTGTAGTTACAGTTAGTTTGATCAAGAGTCCTACACCACTCGCATTAAGGAGGTGAGTTTCTAACTCCTGAGTCCGATACAGGTTTGATCAATGAAGATAAATATAATAAATATGGGAAACACTTATTTGACAATAGAATTTCAGATATGAGAGCATGCTGACAGGTGATTTCCTGGTGTAGCAAACTGTATGACTCTTGTGGGTTTAGCGCTTAGTTCTGATTGTATTATTATTATTATTATTATTATTATTATTATTATTATTATTATTATTATTATTATAATTATTATTATTATTATTGTTGTTGTTGTTATGCTGTTTCTCAAGGCAAAATCTTTTATATAAACTCAACATTTAAAGCTATGAAGTTCAAAGAACAAAAGTACGTAGCTAATAAGCTTGTACACTTCTACATCAAGCTCAGAAATGTTTTCTACAAATTACTGAGGACCCTAATTTTGTGACTGACCGAGCCTCGTGTTATATGGGGAACAATCATTTGCAGTCTTTTCCTTCGTAGGTCCCACACTGTGACAGATTACCAGTGTCTGATACTGTTTATGCTTTCAGATCTCAGCTGAAAGCTCATCTTCGTTCTAGAGTTTATACAAGATCGATGTTCACTGCTTGCGGCAGGATTTGATGAAGTGATATATGACATCCTGGTGCTCCAGGGGTATGGGATACACTGCCAGGTGATGGCTAGGTGCCCATTTATCTGGGGGTCTGGCTGTGTGGTAGTACTGTACTTTGATGCACAATGCGCAGGGTCGAATCCTGCTGTGGTCTGAGAGATATATGCTAAGGTGTGACTCACAGGAACAAAAAAATGGAAATAAAGCTGATCTGTATATTATTTCGCCCCCTAATTAAGATTGCTAAGTTTGGCAACGTGTTCATTACACTTTAATCTTTAATACATATGTATGTATTAAAGATAAAAACGTGTGTGTATATATATATATATATATATATATATTTTATATATATATAATATATATATATATATAATATATATGTCTGCCGAATAGGAGAACTTGGATCTGGCTTAAAATAGCAACGCTCATCTTCCATATAGGACAAGTGAAAATTTGTGTATGCAATAATTTCCCAAAATCATTCTGAACCTACGAAAAAATATATTTCACTGTGTTTGTTTTAGTAATTTAAAATTTTTAAAACAAATCTAAAATAAAATTTAGTTAGTTAGTCTAAAATAAATTGTTCTTGCTATAATAAGGTTAGGTAAGTTTCTAAAATTCTTTTGGTGCAAAATTAAATTTTTTACGATCTACATTAATGAAAAAACCCTATCTTTAAACGTATAACATAAAATTTCAGAAAGGACTTAATTTTAAATGAGTTCTTGCTAATTGACCAGTTTTACATATTCGGCACGACATATATATATATATATATATATATATATATATATATTATATATATATATATATATATATATATATATATATATATATATATATATATATATTATACACATCATATGTGTTTGTGTGTGTGTGTGTGTGTGTGTGTGTGTGTGTGTGTGTGTGTAATAAAATAATCAGTTCCTTCCCACACTAGCCTATACACAAAGGTGATAGGTTCTTCAGTTGTGCTTTCGTTTTTCTCTGCCTCTCCTCCCCTTTCTCTCTTTCTCCCTCTCTAGTCCACTTTTCATGTTCATCTTTATTAACATATTTTTATTTTGGCTTAAATTGGAATTATTATTATATTATTATTATTATTATTATTATTATTATTATTATTATTATTATTATTATTATTAGCAGTAATAGTAGCAGCAGCATCAGTAATAACAATATGATACAGATTAAAGAAATTAACATAATGTTATTATTTTAATAATTATGTTCACAAGATGGCGGATAATGAGAAGTCTTATCACCGCATATTACACATTACGACAAGAATCCAGAAAGGGAAGTTTAGGCTGACATGAGACCTTATGACATGTACCCTAAGGGGTATGTTTTAGCTGATATTAGACCTTATGACATGTACCCTAAGGGTATTTTTTTATCTGATATTTGACCTTATGGCAAGGATACAATAGTAGAATTTTAAGGAGACTGAGAAAACTGCTAGCAAGCAAAACTTTTTGGACTGAGAACGAAAATAATCTATAAAGTCAAACACTCCAGGGTAAGTATGCAGAAACTTGTACAACATGATGCTATGCAGAAAAATATGCTAAATGTCACTTCATATGAAAAATGAAAAAAAAAATGCGAAATGGGGTTAAAATATATGCATACAGAAAGACGAGAAGATAAACTGAGGAAAAGAGATACCACTTTGAAAAGTTAATGGGAATGTTAATGAGCACAAAAAAAATGATGAAGGAAATTTTAATGAGATATAAAAGAGAAGTCGCTTGGTATATACAAGAATATTTAATCAGCATACAATGATAAATTAATTCTCACGGATATATTGCACGACAGTGAATGAAATATAAGTTATTCACGGAATTCTGTCAATACAAGAACAAGTACAGCTTCCACAGGTAGTAAAGACAGACGACAGTGTCCTCCTTACATCTATGTTCATAAATCTTGTCTCTTCTTAATCTGCAGCTTCAGTCTAGCAACAGCTCTGAAAACGCTAGTTCTCCTCGCTCTGATTGAAACATTGACGGAGATACTCTGTCACAATTGGCCTCACAAAGAGATATCACGATTGGCATGAGAGTTCATGAAGTACCTGTGGAAGACAGAACATTATTGAGCGAACCTACCTATACTGAAGATCAACTGTGCTAGTAGGTCCATACTGTCCGGTGATGGTCAACGATCGCTACAAGGAACTGTGTGACTGCACTACAGACTGCTGACGTGCAACAACCACTGTGAGGTGCTCAGTGTATTTTAAACGCAGCTTTTAACTTCACGAAAGTTAATGATGAAAACAATCGCTGATTTTCAGAGTGGTGACACTGTGTTGTAAAACAGTGGTGAATGGTAGAGTAAACTGTGGTGTGTTCTGTCTCGCTGCTGACTGTTCGGAAAACCTGCTGTATATTGTTATCTCTATGCGTTAATGATAATATGTGAACGACACGTCAGCTTTAATTGTCTTCGAACAAATGTGTTTACAGCAAATCAGTCACTTTTTTGAGAATGACTGAATTTCTAAAACTAAATATATGTGATATTAAAGTTGTTAGTAGTGGTTAATAAACTGCGCCAAATGACTGGCAGAGGGTCAACTCCAGTAGTTCAGTGTTAACTTTTCCACTCGTTTGAGTGCTGAAGTGAAGAGTATCACTGACGAAGTTTGTTGATATTGAAGCACCGGTCTGAGCACTCAAGGAATGTGTAGAATATGAGGGTTACTTTCTGTTTCTTGCACAATACGCTCACCACTGACCCCCTTCACCTATAAGTTATCACTGATCAACACCACGGCAATCCATCAATGTCCCTCACTACAAGAGAATCTCACTGTTTCCTCACTATGAAACAATCTCACCATCCTTCAAAATAATCACTCTTCACTAGACCAACTTCACAGTTTCTAATTAGCAGAGCTCCTCAGTTTTTCACTGTCGATCGTAATTACCAAAGCTTTCCATTGTATCTATCACAGGACTCTTCACTGTCTTAGGCTCCTCTCTGTCTCAGAACTCTTCAATGTTTCAGGCCTCCTTTCAGTCTCAAGACCCCCCCCTCACCATCTCGACGCACTAACCTCTGCACCTCCCCCCGTACCGACGTTAGCATCACCTCAGTGCACTGCTGTATCCACCATCCCGACGTAGTGACGTCTGAACCACCCCGAAGGCCTGACGTTTCCAACACCCCGACTCCCTGATGTCTGCACCACCTCTACGCACTGACGTCTGCACGTCTGTTGCCCTTGACTTCCCGATTTCTGCACCACTTTGCACCACCCGAGGGGATGAAGTCTCTGTTACCCTGACTTCCCGATTTTTCACCACCTCGCTGTACCGATGTCTACAACACCTAGACGTACAAACGTACCCGCCACCTTTCTCAGGAGAGAGCACACAGATCTACCCCTCAATAAACTTTTCCTTCCCCTGGAAACAGAAATAATGTCTTGTATCAGGTTCCCTTAGTGGAAGATTCAAGTGTGTGTCGGCTTCACATTAAGATTCTGATCTCTTGGTAGACATTGTGTCCGCGGGGGAAGGGGAGGGTAAGGGGTGGCCAAGTTTCAACAAGAGGTTAGCTAAGTTTTAATAGTCCCTCGTGACTTGCCGACTGATGCTCACATTATACCCATCGTGTTGAAATGTTTCGCCCTCCTTGTTCCTCGTCATCTCTACGAGGTTACTGGCGATCGCCAACTTCCCAGTAAGCTGCATTAGCAGGGTATACCAGTTAAGAAGTTAATCTGGTGATTACTCTCCGTTAGGGTGGCAATAGTCTTTTAGGCCATTGTAATTTTTTTTTCGTATGGTAGTAAGGAGTGGGTTACTGCCAGGTCTTAGGTGGGTTTGAGGCAGAGATGATAGCAGCGTTGACGACCACACCGGATGGAGTGGGAGCGAGTGGGCCAACCAGAGAGGGAGCAGCACACTACGTCCACCCAACGCTAAGGTTAGCTGTGCACTGCCTGGTGGAGCGCTCGGCCCAGCTGTCCTAGTACCCCACCTATCCCCGTCCCACCAACCCTATGGGTCCCTATCCACTAACCCTCCCCCATTTCTCTCTCTCTCTCTCTCTCTCTCTCTCTCTCTCTCTCTCTCTCTTTCGTTCTCTCCCTTTCCTCTTCACTCTTCCTCATCTCATCTTCCGGCTTCACTTTCTCATCTCCCTCTTCATCTAGAAGTCTTATTGGTCCTACAGCGCAGTTTACTTTGTAGTGGTTAACTTATTTGTAATGTGTGTACTCCCCTATATGTGGTTGTATGTGTCGAGTCACAGCTATGTGTGTGTGTGCGCGTGCGCGCGCGCACTCACCTGCTTATGGATGAAGTGGTAGAGTTTCAGCTCCTGGCCCTGCCTCTCAACTTTCCACTTGCCTGTGTTTACTCCCCCCTAGCCTCGCTGTCCCTGTCATACCAACACTTAAAACTATGTATAAAACCTGCTCTCACTATTATTTCCCCCAGGTCATTCCACCTCCTAATTATCACTGGTCAACAAAACCAAAATGCTTCCGAGACCAGAGTAGCAATTTCCAACTAATTTTAGGTCACTGATAATGAATATCATGGTTAAAAATTGCTTGTTAGCTCTACTTTTCAATATAGACCTACGTGTCACAACAGGTTCCAACAGGCTTGTGGCAGTGTGTTTCTTACCACACTCACAGTCTCACTGACCTTCATTATTGTTGCAGCAGTCATAGAAGGTGGTTGTGCTGTGCCAGTTCATATTTTGAGGTGAAAGGAAGGTGATTTTCTTAGCCAAACACTTTTTAAACTTATAATAAATAATCACTGAGCAAGCTACTGATATGCATGTCAGGCATGTTATATTAATTTTATTTTCCTACTGAAGGATATACAGTGGAACCTCAAATATCGATCTTTCTTCTTTCCAGACGGCTGTTCGAGTGCCGTTACCGAACGAATTTATTCCCATCAGGAATAATGCAAATTAGATTAGTTCATTTCAAACCCTCAAAAAATACACTTATAAAAGAACTTACAAAAATACACTTACATAATTGGTTGAGTTGGGAGCAGTTCGATACTTCTGCTTAGCTGTCATGCTCTGTAATATAATGATAAATTTATGAATAAATTTTCTGTGTATCTTCTAATTGTTTGTTGTTTTCTTCGTACTTGTGTGAATAGGGCAGACAACTGCGACATTTGTGGTGAGGTGACCTTTGCATCATAGAAGCGCCGTATAACTGCTGTGGTTAGAAAGGTATATATCACCTATATTTTGGATGCAAGATCGGTGACCAGGATAGGAACTGGACACCACACATATGCTGCAGTAATTGTGCTACTAACCTTCGCCAATGGTTGAACAGGAAGAGGAAAGGAATGCCTTTTGCTGTGCCAATGACATGGTTGGAGCCAACATACCATACCAACAATTGTTATGTCTGCATGTACTTCCAGTGCAAAAGGGTTTGTCAAAAGAAAAAAAGGGGTCCATTGAATATCCAAACATTCGCCCAGTTCCACATGAAGGTCTACCTGTTCCTGATGCACCAACTCCAGTATCCTTCGAATCAGATAAAGGAAGTTGTGAGGAGGAAGAAGAGAAGGATGACAATGCTGGATTACAGTGACCGAAACTTCGACGAAGCACACTCCTCTAGGCCACATCTCATAACAAAAGGGGAACTCCATGACCTTGTCAGGGATCTGCAACTACCCAAAAATAAGACAAGAGTTGCTAGGCTCTCGTCTTCAACAGTGGAATCTCCTAGCACTATAAGCGTCAAGCAAAAAGGCAGAGAACAGGTACGGATTAGAGTTTAAAACATACTGACACATATTGTACCTTATAATAAAATAATTAAATATTACATGTCTCGTATCTTTAACCAATAAGCATTTTTCAAGGTAATATTTGGATTCAGGACATGAAAATACATAAGAATTAACTAATCTCATTTAAGAAGCAAACAACTTTTCAAAAAAACTGTTGACCAGTGTTATCCGAGGCTGAATACTTCCTGATACTCGCACGACTCAACCGTGTCATTAACTTTCAAAGCTGACTTCGTGTACCCGATTCACATCTTTCGGACAGTCTATCCCTGTAAGTTCTATCAAACTCTCTCTCTGAGCAGTTTGTGTGCGGTTATCATGTTTTTCCCGGTTCTTCTATCCTCTAATCTCATCAGATTCTGTTCCTTTACCCTCTCTACTTTCTTATCATGCTTCATCCGTTGAGGGTTCCATTCTGGTGCTGCTGGAGAGTCGAGGACTTAGCTTTGGATTCCTGAAAGATGTTCTCAGATTTTCCTAACAAACATTCATTTCAGAGAATATTTGCTTTTTGTAAGCCTTCAGTGATATGCTGGACACTTTTCTCACCCTTTGATCTTTCTCTGTGAATGAGGTCTGTCGAGTCTATATTCAGTTACCGGTCTTCCTGCCTCTTCTTCGGTTTTCATAACCTTTCATTTGCTGTTTGGCAGAGTCAGTTTGTATCCTTTCATTGTCCTTTTTTATATTCACTTAATTAATTTTATATCACATGCGAACAGAAATACATTTATTTTTTTTTTCTTTTTGTATGTCACTGACAAATACCAGGAACAGTAAAGGTCCCAATATCTATCGTTGCAAAATCTCCCTTTCTTTCTTTTTTAACATTTTCACTGTGTCCTCTCTTATAAACCAAGCCCTCTCTGTCTCCTTCCCATAAGATACTCTTTGCTACACTGTAGCGCATTCCCTACTTTTCCTGCGAGCTCCTGCCACTTTCCCGTAGAACTTGAATAGATTTATGAGACAAGATTTGACTTCCGTAAGCCCTTGCTCTTTATTGTTATTGACACTACTGCTATCCAAGTATTCCTTAACTCCTCTTCTGATTATGACCTTGGTTGCCTTACATAATATAGCAGGCTTGCCAGTGATTCTGGTCTATGATTTATAACGCTTCTTCTCTCCTTTCTAAAATATTAAGGCTTGATTCGCTGTTGTCCAGATCTCTGGCGGTTGTCCTGTATCTGTTGACAAATAGATCTTAGTTGGTAGTTCGGACAGTGCTCTCTCTCTCTCTCTCTCTCTCTCTCTCTCTCTCTCTCTCTCTCTCTCTCTCTCTCTCACACACACACACACACACACGCACACACACACTCACACACACACACTCACACTCACACACACACACACACACACACACACACACACACACACACACACACACACACACACACACACACACACACACACACACACACACACACACACAAAATCCATGGTGACACTTGGTCTGGTCCCATTCCCTTTGATGTATCCAACCCTCAAGTTTTTTGTCACCTCTTCCCCTGTTGTGTATGGTATCCAGTATCCGGTGGCGTACCATCTCTCTTTGACTTTCTGTTGTTTCTCCCCTTTATAATGAGAAGATCTCTTTAAATCATCTGTTTTACTCACAGACTTTCATGTCGTTTCTCGTGAGCTTTCCTTCTTCCTTCCTCAGTTTTATTACCTGGTCTTTTTCTGTCGTCTTTTTTATGATGTGTATTATTAAGCAGCGTCGAATCAGATTTGGCTTATGCTGCTAAGTCATTCTCAGATTATTACTTGGCTTCACTTCTGACACAAGCATCTTCATTTTCAGCTCTTCTGCTCACTTTTCTGTTTTCTTCTGTCAGCAATTTCTAAAGTTTTTCCACATTCTTGCACTTTTTTCCCACTGCGTCTTTTGTTTAACCATTGGCTTTGTCTGTTTTATGCAATTTCATCCACTTCGTTTGAGTATGACGTTCTTCATTGGCCCTGGGCACTTTCCAGCCAGGAACCTAGTCTACTCATTCATTGACTATACTTCTAGCTCCCTTTACTGTTGTAATGCATTCAGGAATTCTCTCGTCTCCGCAAAGTTTCTTTATCTGAGAAGTGGTTTCTCCCATCCCCCATCTGATATTCTTTCCTCAATGTTTATCTATACAAGGTATTCGAAATTCAATACTATATTGTTATTAGCATCCAGAGGCCTCTCATAGTCTATCTAACTTACATCAGATGCAATTGAGTTAACTAATGGATGCAGTCTAATTGGCTCATAACCTACTTTCTCTCTTCTTGTGTCCTTAATATGTTAGAACAAAGTTTTCCATCACCACCTCCATCCTCGTAGCCCGTCGAGTCTCTGGTCCTCCATGAAGGTCCCAGTTCTCCCAGTTGTTTTCTCTGTGGTTGAAATGTCTCATGAATAGTAGCTGTGTGTGTGTGTGTGTGTGTGTGTGTGTGTGTGTGTGTGTGTGTGTGTGTGTGTGTGTGTGTGTGTGTGTGTGTGTGTGTGTAAGCGTGAGCACTCACCTAGTTCGGTATCCCCTCACAGGGAAAGCCTTTAGAGTGTCTATTTCCTCCGCGATACTCTGACGATAACTTGATAAGGCCTCTTCTGACCGGCTTCAAGAGTTCGAATTAAGTGTATTATTTTTAAATGAGACACCAGACTGTTACTGGTCTCAGCAGCTGCCGATCTGGAATTAGTGTCTTAATTTTTTGTGCGATAACTTGAGAATACTTTCAGTGATGAGTTTCACACTTTCAAGGCTGGTGTATCGTACACAATGGAACGTTTGTATTCTGAATAAATAGTTTAGAAAACCGACAAATTGATAAATGAGACGCTTAGGTATCTTTATTCTGGAAACGTTTCGCCAGCCATTGGCTTCTTCAGCTCAATGCAGAGAGAGGTGGAAGATGGAAGGTGGAGGCTGAGAGAATGATTAGCTCTTGAAAATGCGTATTCTGATCAACTTCAAAGTTTCAACGCCGTTATTGTGTTATGTGGGTGCAACTCGCAGTTTTCTTGTAAGTGGTGGGTATCATACTCTGTGGCAGCGCTAAGGGCATCAACACTAAACTCTCTATCACATCTTCTCTTTACCCATATAATGTTTCTGCGCATCTCTGTTCAAATAAACAGGGATTTTTAATCTATATCTATATTTTAT